AGGCGTTTATTAGCCAACAAAGGGCTCGAGAAATCGTTCGGCTAACTGCAACTTCTGCAACTTTCTTGCGTACTAACGAGTTCATTCCGATATTTCGCAGCAGGTCTCCCAAGAACTGTGTTCTTCACCCACGTTAGAGGCTGCGAGAAGCTAATCGTTTCCAGCTGCTTAGGAAAATAGTAGATTTTTGCTATTTTTTAATATCAAATCCTAATGGAACATCAGGCAAAAAGTGGCACCGATTTCGCTTGATTCAGAGGGGCCCCTCCACCACGATCTTGTCAGAGCGCTAGGACGCCAATAGGAGACTCACCTAAAAACATCGTTGGCACGACGAATGCACCACTATTTGCATTTAGAGTGATGCGCAGTAGTTCAACGTAACGCATACACAAACACAAGAATTAGTCACAGCAGGACAAAATCAAGACAAATAGTGTTTCATGGCCATATTTCAGAGTACATGCTCGTTGTATCAGTTCTAAATATCGAAAGTCCTCACATTTCTTCCACAAGTGAACCTCTACAAGTCATTACTACCATTTAGAAACAGAATCTATGCGGAACGCATCCGTCTGCAGAGTAGCCGGCGACGGTAATGTGGCAAATATTCCTGCCAACTGTGACACATTGATCGGGCGAGTGACAATCAACGATGCCACCAGTTCTACTGAGCTCTGGAGGCTGTACAACGTGACAACAATTTTTGGGCAGTTGTCGATTCAGAATACTTCAATCACTGGACTTGCTGCGCTCTGGAAACTCGAACGTGTGATCAACCTTTCACGTTAGTTTCTGATCATTGCTTTTAGGATGTGAGGAGGCTAACGTGCTGTGCAGTTTACATGCCATCTGTTCGAAATTGGGTTCGTCTCGTCAGCTCTGGAAACCGTATAATTACTTATGTTGTATCAGTTAGGTCGCTGTAGCGAATGCATTCAATATGCTTACAGTCGCACTCCACGTTCTCAATACAACATGACCCTTGGAGGCAAGCTTCGGGATAAAAGTGGTGTATATGAGAGCTACCTAGTGATGACTGAGCCGCGGATGGAATCAAGATGGAGAGGAAAACAAGAGAAATCATCGGAAATACGGCGAGACAGGGCTATAAAAGAAGATAAAACACGCGAGTGAGCACGCTGATCTCTATAGAGATAGCGGTGGGTGGGAAGCGTTGCAGCGGGTCGATGGTTGCAGGTTCGTAATGGATTAGCGCCCTAATCGCGCAATTTGGGCAACGAAGCTGGCGTGATCTATGAAGGTACGTACCCCAAAAATCCTCATGTGGTATCCTTTCTACTTGTCGGGCTCCCGGGGATTGCCTCAGAACAACTAGAAAACAAAACAGTCGTGTCCAGCAACTAGTGTAGCCAGGCTGAAACTGAGCAAGACAACCGATGCAGTTAAGATTGTGCTTCAAAAAAGGCACTTCCAGAACTGTATGCTGGCAGAACCGTCGTTGTAGGTGGCAGGTTCATTTCACCACGTCTAGTCTGGTACTGGATTGTTAACGGTTAATTCGATTCCTGAAAATGTGTAATGTAGTTGAGAACTTTTAGCTACAGCGCATCGCTTTGCCCAAATTGGAGGAAATGTGAGCCCCTTTCGGTACCCTGTAGAGGCACACTATAGAGGAGACACAAGTTAGAGGGGTTTTTATGTGCTCGAGTACATATTGATGTGAAGAGAGCACCACCAACGAGTTTTCGCATTTCCACCGACGTATGGTCAGAACGATAGTTTGCTCGTATTTGCCTCTTTAGGAGGGCGATTGTACTTTAAGCGCTCATGTCCTCAGGGGGAAATTGAAAGGAAAGAGTAACTCCAACTTGATGCCAAGACTGAGGGAGGGAAAGGGTTCTGGGGAAGGACGTGAGCAACCTTCATCCTCCCTGACGTTTCTTTCCTCTCCTGGCTTAGTCTTACTCGTTGGTGTCATCTATCAGCGGTTTTCTAATGCCCTGTTTTGAATCATCTCCCTTCCTAGAGACACGAGAGCCATTCTTTTTTTTGTTGATCGAATTCATTTTGTAATTAAGACACTAGTTTATCGAAAATTCTGGACGAACTGAGATTCAATGTTAGTGACAATTTCTCCCTTTACTAAAGATCACGCGATTAAGCAAACGAGACGGCAGTAGTAATCGAATCGAACGGTCGCCTGAAGTCGATTTTCTTGCAGTATATTCGCCGGATATATAGGTTTGTCCAGAAATCTATACCAGACCGTTTTTCATGAATGTACCTAAGCATTTACGCGAAGCCGTTCATCTACACTCCCCGCGCATTTCAATAGCACTTATACAGTGGTCTTCATAAGTAGAGACGCACCTCAAAAATAAAAATTAATTTAGACAAATTCACATAGAAGCGTAATTGTTGATGGGCCTAACACTCAAACTGACATACTTCATAAACATCTACGATTCACGAAAAAAAAGCAGCATCCTGCAAGTGTTTCTAAGCGCTTCAAGTATCACGTAGAAAACATCAAACGTTCACTAGGGAAGTGATAACAATTTTTTGGTGATCGATTAGTCCTTCATGTTTTTAAAAGACTTTAAAACTCCGATTTGACATAGATTCGACAGGCTTATTCAAAAGTTGCAGCTCCAAATGACTCCACGCCTGACTAATTGCTGTGTAAGTTCATTCATTCCTTCCTGAAAGTAAGTAAGTGTCTCGAACCAGAAAGCCAATATGTTCTCTATGGGGTTCACATCAGGAAGACAAGGAGGGCAATCCATTGTGACCATATTTCGTTCCTCCACCCATGCTTCTATTGAATGGCTCACGTGGATCGCTGCAACTTGTACTCGTCCTACAACATCACTTAACGAAATTTTCTAAGAATTTTTTTAGGAGAGGCGCATACTTTGGTCTAGTTCTTTGCCATATTGCTTCTGGTGAAGCGGAGTCGAGCATCTTTATGAGACTCGGTGAGACGAGTGTACAGCTGACATCGCACAACGTTTTTTTCTGGGCTGATCTCATTTTGGAAACTGGAGCTGGTAGGCTGGTTTGAACAGCGATAAGACTGACTGAATAGCTCAAGAAAAGAAACAAAGAAAAAAAAAGAAACAAGTCGCCCTGTTTTAAAATACGAATCTTAGCCTGCTCGGCTTCGAATAGGTGGGAGCCTCGTGGCATTTGATGTTATGACGCACATTTTTCATGGCTACTAAATGCTTTCCTGAATGGCGACTTTCTTCGGTAAAGTGTCATGTTTTGCCTGTTTGTGTAGTGCGTCTATAATTATGAAACAGGTCTTGTAGGTGTAAACTATTGAAAGACGACTGATTTTTCTCCGATTTGGTTGACAACTATTGTAGAAAGGGCTTCAGGCATTCTAATTACAATATTAACAAGCTTTTGTGCCAGCGTTGGTTTCTGCATTCTTGAAGGTGCGTCTACTCTTATGAAACGCACCGTATTACCACGAAAAAACCAAAGATTCGAAGGTTTTTGGGTTTTTGGAGCAAGTCGCAACACTTGCAAGTATTGTGCTACTTCCACCGTAGAATTGTCTAAAAAACATATGATGTTCGTACAATTCAGTGGACAGCCGGTTAAAATTATGAATAATGCCGTCATGACGCTTTTGGACGAAGACTGTCAAACGATGAACCAAACTGCAGGGATCAATAGCATGGGCAACCGTCGGAACTGTCCAGGTCTTAATAATCTTGTTTTTGTATTTTTTTCTTTCCGTAGAGCGTGATCAGAAAGTTAGAATCCAAATGGATCCAGATGCACTTTACGGTTCTCATGGAAACAGCGTGGACTTCATGCGCTTTAGCGCTCGTCCACACATTGCGATAAAAGTTACCAAAGATGAATTTTATATGGTGTTCTAGTCCACTTCATATGTTCTGCAGACTTGCCTCCAACAGACATCACCTGCTTCTGTTGCTGCCAATCACTCTCACAGAGAACGATCCTACAATCATGACCAGGTTTTGCTTCATATCGATAGGTTTCGCTACAAGCTCGGAGTTCCCAGAAAGTAGGATCCTCATGCTACCTGATTAAAGGCAGTAGGTCGCAGACAAGCCGATGCATATACATATTCCTCAATTGTCGCAGTGTAAAGAAGAAAAAGTGTTTGCGAAAATGGGGAAATCCAAGGAAACCGCGTAGAAGTGGTCACAGGCGCTTAGGGAGTTGTTACCATGAGAAGATCGAGGATTGCGGATGAAACAAGAAAAAATTATATAATGGCAATCAATGTTTTGCAGTGCGCTGTAAGATTGATATCGCTTACGTCGCTAATGTGAGTGCCCTTGTATTAAACCTCTCACAGTATAACGTGCGAGGATCTCTCGTCAATTCAAAGGGATTTTACGGTAAGCCTAATGTCAAGAGGAAAATGGGCCCTATCACGAAGGAGAGCTCGATTCTCCGACAAAAGTGACAATCCAATTTTTTAAGTCGAAAGGTACACCGGCAGAAGTTCAGCAGAAGTCTGTGTGTGGTGGCGATCGCCTTCGGATTGATATTTGTGGCGCAAGGTTGTTGGTCACGGCAAGAGAGAGTAGCGAGGCGTTTGCGATTTCGGATACATCGACTTCGGATACGTCACAGAATCTCACCCTGCGTGGGCCAACGGGTCAAAGTCCTAACTGGCCGGATTTGAACCGTTCCTCTTGGTTTGCTTTTTACTTTTGCTGCACCGCTTATTTCCTCAACTTTCCTTTCCAGCGGCGCTGTTTTATCGTACCATTTCAATGTGCTGCTCCATTAGAGGAAGGAGTTGTTCCGAATGAAAAAGGAAATTACCCTTTCTTGAGAGGGTGCAGATCTTACAGTTACACAAGATGTACAAGCTCTCTCTAACAACTGCCTGGCGATCTCTGTGACAGCCATTTCAAACAGATATAAATTGTTCTACCATCAGATTAGTTGGACGGTAAGGGGAGAGAAGTCAAGTTAGCACTATTTCTTGTTTGCTTCAGATATCACAAACTCATCCTCAGAGTTGTACGATCATTCTGGAAATGGAAGCACCTTATTTCTTGCCTTGTTGTTTCTCGGATATCCACAACTATAACTGTGTATTCCTTGTCTTAGTGTTCATTCTACCTGTACTCAGGAGAGTTGAAATTTCACGATATAATGCCAGTTTGTTACCAATCACGTTATGTGAACGTCCAACATGTGCGTACCTTACATAAGGAATGTGTCTCTTCCTATCTTATCTTCAATGAAAGTTTACCAATTTGCTGAAAACTTATTTTATTGTTCACGGTACTAGGAAACAAGAATCCGTTCAAAAACTTCTCCTCTCGATGTAGAGTTCTGATAATTCTCTGATATTGCCAGCTGTTTTGTTCGGGTGATTTTCAGTTCTTGATAAATTCAGTTTCCCCCGCTGTATTTCTGTTTTTTTTTGTTTTGTGTTTGATATTCAACATGATGCACATGCTTATTCAATAAGTGATATAATCAGAAAAATTCCGAAGATCCTCAACGGGGATCATGTTTGACTTGATGTGGAGGTTGAGGGGCGAGGGCTGTAGTAATGACTTGCTGCAACACTATAAGTGCCGCCCTCGGATGTACAGAAAATTTTGGGGAGCAGCAGTAATTTGGCACCTTGTAACATGGGATGAATATACCTCGTTGAGCCAGGTTCCGCCAATCCTCACGTACAGACTCGACGTTGTTCTCAAAGAATCGAAGAAGAGGAGAAGGAACAACTGTGCGCAGCCAAACTTGGACTTCCAAGGTAAGAATTTTTTGCAGTCTCAGAATCGTTTCTCTTCCACAACGTGTCGTACTTGCTCGGATAAGCATTATTCAGATGGAGCGTGACAAGCACATAGAGGTCAAGGGACTTCAGTCTGACCTCGCACTTTTTTGCTGGTGGTAGGCAGGCGATTAATGTGTACTAGAGCTACATTGTACTAGATGGACGTATTGGTGAAAAGGAAGGTGACGCAAAAAAGGATATGAGTCTCAAGAAGCACAAGGATCGTGATGGCCTGGAGATCTTTATCGCATTGTGAATGAACTAAGAAAACTAAAGAAAAGTAAACAATTTTGTTCAAGAAATAGGCTTTTATAAATAATGAGAAGTAGAGCAAATTCGATTGGATTATTTCTGAGTGCTCATTCCAACGCGATAATGACTTACGGCTTGGTAAGATAGAAACTGCCGGCGAACTTGATAGAACTTGATCTGAACGTTGGCTCTACATATTACCATAGAAGAGTAAGGTCAATCAAGCAAATTCCTTGGATCAAAAAAAAACAGCACCAGTGATTCTGTTACTACGAATTCAGATTCGATGTATTGCTCTGCAAACAAATGGAATCATCGAGGGAGGGTGGGGTGAGCATGTACTATAACCGAGTGCACAGGGCACTAGTTCCAAGCATATTTAACAGCGATTTCCTTCGGCGGTCTTCTGCTGTGTTATGTTAAGTGTATGCGGAGTAAGCGCAATTACCTTTGATCTAAAAAAAAGAGTTACTTTACTGACGAGAGTGTCGTGTGTATGGCTGATCCCTGAAATAAAGAGATCTAAAGGGATGAGAACCTGAGCGCACCGACCAAGGTGCAAATGGCATCTAGCGGGTTCTGTCTTTCCTCCGAGCAACCTACTGTCTCATTTAAACTGTCTGACATTGAAAACGATAGTCAGCGATAAATGAGAATGAAGACGTTATCGTATGCATCCATAAACTCAATGTTCCCCAGTATTGAACAGTTTCAGTGCTTATTGTTTCAACATCTACACTCAAAACTCCATATTTGAAGGGCTTTCTGCATCATTATATTACTACTGTAGAGTTCATGCTTCAAAACAGTGACAAATGGTCATTTCGTGTTCCGAATTTCCAATAGAAATATTACTAACAGTTCCTTCAATGTGATTCGAGATGAAATGCCTTTTAATAGCTCGTCAAAAGCTACAATAACGTCCACCTTTCTTAAAACCTGCGCGTTTGCTCTAGAACTGTTAGCTATTGCTTCCGTACCAAACAGGTTTTGAAAGGGGAAGACTTATCAAGCCTATCGTTTCGACAGAGTCGTCGTTTCCAAAGGCTGAATGAATTAGCGAAACATTCAAAATGTCCAACAATCTCCATTTAATCAAATCCAGGATTACGATCCATGGAGTGGAATTCCCAGGAGTGGATCACTCACCTCATTCCACCAGCGCTGATAACTTTTCAACAGCCTCCCTAGTCGTAAACACCTCATAAATAGTGTACGGCCTGTTAATCTCACTTACTCTATTGTGTGGGTAGAAGCACTGATTGTGAGGGGCTGTTGAACGAATCATCGGATCTGGCGGAGTTGAGCTGAGTGACCCATCCCTGATTATTCACTCCGTGAATTGTTTCCTATCCGCTCGACAGGAAGGAATCTCATACGCTCTTAGGTGTTTGAGAACGGCGAGTTCATCGAAACGTAAGGCTCAGTAAATATTCTACCATACAAAATTTTTCTGACATAAAGCAATAACTAATTATAAGTTTCATCCTTACAGAAGATTCTCGTCAGAGGAAGCAGCATTTTGCTTAGTTTGATTTTTAGTTTTATTTGTAATTTTTGAGAGCTAAGTCTTAATAGTTTGAGAAACACAGTACAGTTTATAGTTAGAAAAGCCCGTAGAAACAATTGCCCGCAGGGTGACAGTTTATGAGTAAAGCATATTTTATGATTGCAATCGGAAGTGGAAAAATTCAGAAAAAAAATGAAAATCTACTGGATGTTAAACGCAATTACTTCAACAAACGATACGGAAAATTCAGAAGAATTGCAAAAGATACTTCCATACACAATATGTGTCCTGATAGTTGACAAGGAATACACGCTGATGATAGTCAAGAGAACTATGAATGATTGCGTAACGTCCTGCTCGCAACACTTCTGATATCAAATGCAGAAAAAGGCGTCGACCATGTAACTTTCTTCCGAGCTTGTGAAACTGCAATGGAGTAAAGGCAGGAATTCGTTTAAATCTGAAGTTCGTGAAAGTTCGAAATTATTTTCCTTTATAGGCAGGGCTTTGAGTAATCCAAGTTTTACGTCGATTGGGGGATTTTAGATTTGGTTACCGTGATATTAGGATAACCAGTTTAGCTCCGCCCGCTACCGCGCGCATTGATAGAACTGACAATCGATGAAGCTTTAGGTTTCACCGCTAAATTATAGCTGCTTCGTTAAATGTATTACTGTCCGTTGCATAGCTGCCCATCTTGGCTGTATCTCACTGTTTGATAAGCGCAGTGAAGTGCACAGCTAAAGTGATGATGTAAACAACCACTATGCGTCGAGTATCGAGGTAATTTAGCGGTCGAATATCTCAAAACGGAATGCCCAGTATTCATTATCATATTTATTCGAGCATCCCATTCATCCTCAAGAACTCTAGAAGGTGTAGCGGTCGAAAGGTGTTTGAATTACAACGCTGATGAAATGATATTGAAATGAAAGGCATTATCTACAATCTGCTCTCTATTTCTCTATTTCAAGTGCTCTCTACGTTCGTACGCATATCGTTATATCAGTCCTCATCAGTCGTTATCACTTTTTGACCCCCACCAAATATGTTCCCGTCCCACCCCCTATATCATATCCCAAAATCAGCTCCTGACGACCACTGGTGCCCGAGCTATGAATTTCCGGTCAGACAGACAAACACACACACACACACACAACCGCTTAGCCGATTATATATAGTAGGATTGTTTTCTTCCGCCTTGAAAAATCGTTTTTTAGTTCGTGTTGCTTGCTATCCCATGTCGGTTGCTTGGATTTGGCTGAATCGCATCGGGGCCATCTATGTAGGGACCCACTGTAAGGATAACGAAGCAGCTAACTTTCTCGCTGCAGAACAGTACTTCTCATATTTTTGCTGCAATGTACAGGGGGTGCAAAAGTTATGGTAACAAGAAAAAGTGATGATATCAGTGCGGTTAGAAAGACACAAGTGGTCTGAATTAATATATCTTTGTAGGAAGGTAATCAAACGTTAACATTTCGGTAACATTACAATTTCCAGTAGATAAGCTGTAGCCAATGACACGAAAAACCCCACCGTTCGTGCAGGGGCGCCTAGAGACTACCATCCTTTTAGCCTTAGGAGTCGATGTCCTGATTTCGAAAATGGTATTCATTTTCAGCGCCGGTGCCACGTAGCGCCAACTGGCGTCACCTTGTCACGACACTTGTTTTCTAGAAATTGGGTGTAAACTCCCGTAACGGGTCGCTAGCGAATCGCTCGATACGCTTAGAGCTCAACGTGAGTTTGGTCACAGGGGATTTCCGACAATCGAACCCGGTGCACCAGCGAGTCGAACGATGTACCAGCGAGTCGAACTAGGTACCAGCGACTCAATAGTGGCGGGACCCAACGTTCAAAGGAAGCCCGCCACTTTCAAACAGTGTCACGTGACAGTGGACGCTGTTTGAAAGTGGCGGGCTTCCTTTAAACGTTGGGTCCCGCCACTATTGAGTCGCTGGTACCTAGTTCGACGCTGGTGCATCGGTTGATTCGCTGGCGCGAAGTTAGATTCGCTGAATGCTTAAAGAGTCCTTCCTCATCTTCTTCAACATACTCCACACACAGTGAACAATTGAATATAGAATGGGAGGTGTCAGCTTGTTCGCAATTATTCCAGTAGGCTCTTTTGTCGATAAGTTATAAATGAAAGTTGACTTGTTGCGGTAGGGCTTACCTCCACGTTTATTTGACATATGACAATATTGTCTCCAGAAAATACGTTGTCGATGGCCATCATTGGGATCAGATAATACTCAGGACCTTCGTTGTCCATTAACAGATTGTCGATTCGCGTACGATTTACCATTTTTCTGAGGAATGTTGTGAAAGGGATATTTTCCACTGCTCTTCTTATGTAGCTTCCTGAAAAGTTGATAAGTAACTCTTCACCAAGTACCGTTTTAGATGCGCTCTGTAGATATTATAGATTTTGTTTTTGACGAAGCGAAGGATTCACAAATAGATTCTACTCTTCCACTCGAGCAGTTAATACATTATTATTACTTGAAGCAATCCTTCCCGGAAAATTCTTGCTTTTTCCCATCCTACTTACTATAAAGCGCTTCGTCTGTCGTGTGTCGTTCTGTCGTTCTGTCGTTCTGT